CGCATTTGCGCTGTGCATAGACACTTAGCGTGTATTAACGATCAAATATAACGATCGCTCTGCGAGTTGCGCGACAGATATGGCGAATTTGCAGATTACATTTTATCACGGCACGGCATCGATTGTATTTGCATAAACGGAGGGAAAATATTATAATACCTTCTCTTCACACAAGTTCATCGTACAATTTCACCTTATTTTCCGGCGGTGCAAGAATAGACTGCCAGTCAAGTATATCCTGCCGGGCAACATAATTTTTTAGTAGCAATTTTTTTTTTCTTAAAATATCCCTGTAAAAATGTATGTAGAATATTCGATCCAAGGGGCGCTAACGTTAAATAATTGGAGACTCGGACGGAACGAGAAAGTCCTCGTTTAATAATCCACGATAATTATCGGGATATTAATTAAAGAAGATCGGCGAGTCAGCGGCTCTGCGAGACACCGTTCGCCGGTCTCTCTTAATTAATATCTCAGCAACAAAGCCCGCCGCGCGGGAAACGGTGAGGGGAAACTTTTCCGTTCAGACGGCGCCGCTTCTTCACCCGCACGCGACGGGGTGTCGCGCTTAAATTCGGACGCCTCGCGCGCAAAACCCGTCGAGATTGTCGCGAGTCACTTGTCGCCGACGGGGGGGGGAGGGGAAAGAAGCGGGACGCCATTTTTATTTACACGCGTTTCTTGCGCCGTGTGATCTATCTTCCGATGTGTATCTTATTTCACGTCGGGGCGCGCGCCGTTGTCGTCGTCGCACTCCGAACCGGAGTGAGTGCCGACGCGGTGCATGTAGCGGGTAATGGAAACGTCACTCCGTGTGTCACACGGTGTATCCCGGTGCAAATGTTATCTCTGTTAACTCCGCGCGGCAGATAATGGGGGCGCGTGCGCGAATCGTCGGCGGCGGGAACCGCCGATATAACGCCGATGAAACGATCGAAACTATTAACGGGGGAAAAAAATATGATCGCGCGCGATACGAGATCACCCGCGTCGTTCATCACCGGCGATTAGCGCGGATTCACGTGCATTCGCGACGCGCGTCGTGACACTCCTCCCCACGTGGTGCACGCCAGTCACGGTGCACACGTGACGTCGTCGTAAAACGCGAATCGCCCCGTTTAACGGGGTATCTACCCGATTTAATGCGACGCCATCAAAGCGGTTAAGATGACCGTGCGAACGGCTGAAATTAATTTCCCCCGGCGATTAGCGCGAGCAATGCCCGCTCGAACCCGCTATCGTCGTAATTGAGGGCCGGCCGAGTGCTCGAAGGCGATATCTCGCACGTGCGACAATACGACGTGCATATTTCAATGCGCTTGATATCCCGTGGGTCTCCGCTCGCGAAGGGATCCCCACGGTAGCCCCTCGGTTTTCACGCGCTTCGTCCGGTGATTTGCGTCAAAATGAGAGACACGTATTTTTTAACGAACGTTCAATCGTTCGGAAGGTTCGGAAGGTAAAATATTCGTATGAAACAAAAAATCAGCTTTCATGTCTCCGGGTGAGGATATGTTTTGGAAGGACGCAGCAGAAATCGAGAAAAATTTGACGGTCTTAAAGGTACCTTTCACACAACGGTCTTTCCAGATTTTTCCAGAAAAATGATGTATTTTTATACCTGTCCTGTATAAATTTCCTCGTCTCTGTCTTATTCCTCTCTTGCGTGACCTCTTATCTCGACCTAGACTTATTCATATGTAAACAGCCATGTTCTCGTCTTCCTCGCTACACGGAACCTTTCGGAGCGCTGTAGTCATTTTCCTCGCGGCAACTCGTCAGGGCGGATCGTCTATGCGCGCACAATCCACACCGCTGGTTGCTCCGCGCGTTACTTTCGCTGGATTTTTGCAAAATTACCTCGCAGCAACTCGACTGTATAAAAACAAGCTCACCGTCTTTTCCCGTAGCTCGTGAGAGCAGTTTCATGAAGTGTGTGATAATATTTTGCGAAATAAGCAAAATTCCCTTTGTGCGGAACATTGGGATTCTCAGACGATGTCACGTTGAAAAAAGCTCCAACTGAAATTATAGTCATTTTCGGCGTCGACTTTATTTTCCCTTGACCTTTTAACTTTTTTCTCTTCGTTTTAATTCTAAACATAGTAGTAGAGCAATCCGTGTGAAATTAGTCCCGAAATTTCCCCAATGTTCCAAGAGAAACTTTCTACATTTCGCTTCGATCGTTCAACTCTTTCACTTGCGCGATTACAATTACAAGTATCAAGACTTGTTTCTTCAGCGCGACTGGACGGTACTCGACGCAGAACTCGGAGATCCTCCTCGATTCTCGCGCGGAGGCGCGTCGGTCCGATATCGCCAATTAACCCAAGATTGTTTACCAGCCGCATCACGAGGCGGCCCGTATTGAGCCGATGGTTCCTATGTAACCGGCGGTTCTATGTAACAGACATGTACATACCTATGGTCAACCCAAATGGCGAATGTCACTCAACCCGCCGATCGCGCACCGACCCACCGTGCTGGCAAGATTATCGCTTGCAATTCTGCGGCGGAGATATTCCGTGCTGGCGACGCATGTATCTCGGAGGCGGAAATCGCGGAAAAATGTAACTTGACGGACAAGAACGGGCCAGTGAGAGAAAGAGAGACACACACACCGGCTGGTTTTGCAGCGAATTATCAAATGTTCGAATCGTGCGCGTGACGCGTGAATATTTCTGCAGACGCGTCAATCGCGACGCCGTCATCGTTACGAATTAATCCCCCCCCGGTAACGTTGCAGATAATTCCGTTTAATTTCCTTTACAAGGCTGATGGTTTCTTAATCGACGTTAAAGTGGAAACGACATTAACGTGATATATAATATCATTTGGAGATTGTTGCTTATCTCTCATTAAGTATCTGTTACATCGTTGTTCCATTGTATTATCAATATTATTGATTTCCGTGTTATTTATTAGGCGTTGTTTCTTATTCTGTCGCGAGTTCCATATCTTACCAGCGAAATAGAACAGCTGGAGCGCAATATATGCGCACACACAAATATATCGTAACACCGATAATGTGGATCTCAAGTCGTATTTTTTTTTTTTTTCAAGAAAATTTACACACCTCGATATTTATTATTACATTTGATCTTTCTTATTCCTTGAACAGATGTCAGAGCTCGATTTGGCAACGAGAATTTGTTTCTTCCGATGCGATATCGTTCATATATAGATGTTACAATGGTGTCCGCGATTTCGCGTTTATTTCGGCCGCAGTCTCGGTCTTCGGGATCCGCCGTTTCGACCCAATTTGATTAAAGTTTCCGCCGAATTTACGGTCGAGGTCACAGCGCGTTCGCTTGTTCGGTTAAGCGTGGTAATTCCGTCTGTGGGAAATCGAGTTTTGTCAGTTTACGAACAGACAATATTTATGGCATGGAATGAAAAATTGCGCGCGCCACCGTTTTAAAATCGAGCGAGCGCGGCCGCGGAACATTTCGCGCGATGGCGCCGTCTCGTCACCGTAATGTCTGTTCGTTGGAAATTTTATTTTTGATCAGCGATCTCGCGAGCACGGCCGGCGATGTCTGCTATATCGAATGCGCGCGCGCGAATCGAGATATTCCAGTGCAATATAATCCGCTTAATGTGGTTATCTATTCATCTATCCGTTGATTCGCTTATCTCGTATCACTCGTAAAACCATTAATACAGGGTGGTCGCGTGCAGTTCGCCCGCGGAAAAGTGAGGCGCACAGTCGTGTGTCGCAAAATTCCCGATCTCGAGCGCGAATCGTCAACCGGCAGCGGTGTAATATTAATTGCAATTTTGCTGGTAATTGATGAAACTAGATTATCCGTCCATCGAGTTTCTATAATTTAAATAAACAATATGCACGAACACGCGACCTCATTAATTTATCGATGCGCAAAAAATCACATTACGCCACTCCTCGCTGACCCCGCTGCGGGGAATAATCGAGAATAATTTAGAAGCCGATGCGTTCCCGAGGAAAAATCGAAAATTCACCGTATTTTTCGTATAATCTTAATTTATCTCCCCTCCCGTTTCGCATTTGAATTTTGGCCATTTAAACAATTTACTGCGCCCCTTGGCGAGGTAGATTTTAACTGACACTCTATTCCCGCACTGCTGGAAAACATGATGAAATAGATGAGAATTTTAAAGGAAGACTACAGATTCAATATAGCTGCTACTATATAATTCGGATCGTTTCGATATCCCGGTGATAACCCGCGTGTTTGAGTACCCGGGGCTTTCGGGATTACTCGGATACCCGGGTGTACATATTTATCGATACTACCGGGGTACCTGGCTATTAGAATTAGAACCTAACCTAACCCATTTATTCACTGACATTACCTCAGTAATCAGAAAATAATAACGAGTAAATAGTTACATCGAGAGAAATTACAGTTATTTTCGGCTTCGACTATACTCTTAAAGTTTTAACCACAAAAACAGTAGTAGCAACATGTATGTAAAATTATTCTGACATAACAGTGATGCTAGAAAAAAACAATTGGAGTTCCTCATTCTTTCACTTATGATGATTACATAGTTACAAACACCAGAGAGTTTTCTCTCACCGTACGCGCGGGGAAAGAAATGTTGCCGGAACAGCAGATCGTCTTCTTCTCGCGCGAGTCTGTCGATATGTTTCTCCGTTATTTGTTATCGCTGGAGAAATCGATAATTTGTGTCATTTGAAATTAACCATAAACACTCAGTTATCCGGATATAGCCTAAATTGACAGCACTAATATACAATATTCTCTCTCCGGAGGAGTTAATTCCCGTTCGTGTCTCGAGCGAGAGAGAGAGAGAGAGAGAGAGACTTGCGAGCGGTAACCGCAAGCGTACAATTAATTAAGCGCGCTGATGCGCGGATTCATTTGTGTAATCGCGAGTAGCGACGATAGCCGAATCGAACGTTCTCGAGCGTTATCTCGTTCGATCCCCAGCCTCTTCCCATTGGCCAATCGGAAGCTCCATCGATTATCACCGCCGTCTTCCTATGCTTGCAGGTTGCCGAGGAAGCGAGCAACTCTGCTGGCGATTTGTCTTCTGGTCACTTGCACGGGTAAGTGTCTTCCACGTGATACCGCTACTACCGCTCGTTCCAGCCGTCGCGCTGAATTTATACAGTCATACGTCTTATCGCGGAAATCGCGGCTCACCCACGGTGATGTTTCGTTCGGGCCCGTTTCGTTCGTTCGTTTTAACTACGGACTTCTGCACGCGGGCCGCGGTCTTCGGCGAAGACAACGATCGACTTTTGAGAGATGGATGTGACTGATCTAAAAGAACAGGGACGAGTCGCCAAAATCGCGGCCGGGTAATTTTTCAGCGCAAAAAATGTGTTTTAAAGCATTTTCAAAGCGTGGTTACGAAACACAATGTAATTCGTTCGAGTTACGATCGCGTTTATGTTCAATAATTACGGGGAAAAGAATAACGAAAGAGGCACGATTTAGGTAACTGATGCGAATTAGGCAACACTCTTACACACCGATCGCAATTCCCGCCCTTCGCTGAACGTAGCTGTAGACGCTGCGCCTTCTTGTGAGAGAGGCTTGAAGACAAGATTGACGAACAGCTCTATTCTCCTCCTACATGCGTGCCATCTTCGTCCAGCTTTCCCCAATGGCAGTCAAACTGGACAGAGATAGAATGCCCGCGGTAACGCGAGGGGAAAAAGGTTTAATTGAATTAACCTGACGACGACGAACAGACCGAACGCCGGAGGAGACGGAATTTCTGCTTCTTCTGAAGCAAATTCTGTTCCCACCAGCCAGACGTTCCGTGATCTTCGGAGCGAGACGCGTTCGGTTTGTTCATCGTCAAGGTTAATTCAATCAAACTCTCTTCTCCGTGCATGACATCCTCTTCTTCGCAGCGCCTCTCTCGAGGAACGCTCGGTTCTTCAACGCACACAGACATAAGTCCTGTGGTTTTTGCTTGCTGAAACACGTCCCGCCACGTGTCCACGAATGTCCATGAGCGTTTCTCCCCTCGTCGTTGAAGAGAATTTCATTCGATTCCTCGGGTGTGTTAGGCCCTTCCGTCGCGTTCGTTTAAATTCCTGCGGCAAAATGCGGCGATCGCTGAAAGTATCGCGGGCGATCCGCGCGCGTGAAACTCGCGAGGACGTCGCGCTGTTCCGAAAAAGAAAAGGGGAGCGTCGTTCGGAGGAGTTATTTGTTGTCCGCGTAAACAACGTCTCTTCCCCTCCCCCCCCCCCCCNTCACGTAGAGAATGTAAACAAACTCGAGACATGTCCCCAGAATCGTACTTACAGCGTCCCGTTTGCCGCCTCGCCGCGCGCTCGCAGTCCGTTATTTCCGATGTTTTTCCGTTAATTTCTCAATAACCAGTACGTGGAAAATCGTGAAATGATTGGAAGAGAGAGAGAGAAGAGAGGCGGGAGTTTTCCGATTCAGTTGAACGCGCTACGCCTGCTGATGAGCGGTTAATTATCAGATATCCCGGTGCGGGCGCGTTCGCGCGCGTGTATTCTTCTAATAACACGTTGAATGCCGCGATGCTCGCTGACGGCCCGTCATATACTACGATATTACCCGGCTTATTAAGTTACATATACATATGTAAAGTATAATTAACTCAAGTTACATATGTATATAAAGTTTAATTAATATATGAAGTTACATATTTAAAATATTTCCATATGACAAATTTGGTTCGTACAGTCGCAGCAAAGAGCCGATGAAACTACGTGGAAAGATGTATCTCAAACTATATTTGCATAGCGTACTTTTAACGTTTTAACTGTAAGTTGGGCGCTTTTGTGTACGATCAATGGAAGTCGTCGCGGCGGTAAACGTGTTAATTATTGCTTTTATGCGGATACTTTATTCTGAATACCCTCGTTACCCACGAGGGTGTAGAATGCGCGCTTGAGGGGCGTTTGCTTTTATATCGGTGAGAGGACAACGACGAATTCGCGAAGGCGACGTCGGTGTTATTGTAAATCACGTCGCTGGAGTTACGCTTGGGCGAAGGGACGGCGATTTAGATATCTCGTTGTCGTTGAACGTGATCGAAGCGGCGAGTATCCTGGCAATACGCGAGGGATGGTTAGGCGCCACAGGGTGGGCCGGGAAGGGGGTGCACAGGGACGGGGGAAAGGCGTTTCCTTCTTCCGGCGAGGAACAGGAAGCTTCTAGCGAACTACCTCTCTAGTTTCTCTTTCTCTACCCTTCGCCGTTTTTCTCCCGTTTCCTATCCGTCTTGTCTTTTTTCCTTCTCCCGTTCCTCCTTCCCACGCTTCTCCCCCCCCTGCCTCCTCCCCTTCATCTTCGTATCTCGACGAACCCGAGAAATGGTTTCCCCCGCGAAGGAAACGCGGCGCAGCTTTTCCTTTTCTAACGTCTTTTCATCATCTCCCCCCCTCCGTCTACTCCCCCTCCCCCTATATCTCTCTCTCTCTCTCTCTCTCTCTCATCCTTTCGTTCTCTCCATTCTCCAGGTTACAAATATATATTGCAACTAACGCTGATTGCGGGTAATTTAGCAAAGCACCGCGCGCTTATTTCGCCTTCGGCTTCGCGGAAGCCCGACGTCTGTGTTTCTCTCTCGCAGTCATCTTCAGTTTATCCGCTAAATTTTCAGATATTACATTAAATTTTATTACGATGCACGCACGTGCTCTTCCCTCGCTGGTCTCTTTTTATCAGACACTTATCCGTGTATACCGTACCTCGCGTCGACTCGCGTAATTATTTCCATTTACCGTTCGACTAATTCGTTCAGGCGTCCACTTATTTAGCCTCGTAATGTGGAATGAATGGTATCTCTTTTTTTTTTTTTTATTCCTCTTCCCGCACTTCCGAGGTATAATACGATTCATTCAGTACTTGCCCATTTACTCCTTCGCTCACTTACTCTCACACCATCTCCGCGTCGCGCTCTATACGTATTCTTTTTTTATAACTCCTGCTTTTGCTCCCTATATTTTTCCCCCGCTTTCTCCCTTTCTCTGTGACGTCTCTCTCTCTCTCACTCACTCACTCACTCACTCACTCACTCTCTTTCTCTCTCTCTTTCACGTCTCTTTTCCTTCTCATCCAACGCCGCTCGTCGTAAATCCATTGCGGCGTGCTTCCTCCTCTTCTCCCACTCCCTCCGTCTCTCTTACTCTCGGCAGCTATTTATTATTTGCGCGCGCGTTCCGCATTTGCATTTTTAAGACGTTATTCTGACTTCCTTATTAACCGCCGTCGTTCGCCTCCAACGTTGCCCTCGACGTTCGCGGGTCCGTGAATTTGCCGGCAATGAGGTTTCCTCGCCGAAAGATCCGTCGGTTCACTGATGGCCCGGTAATTTACGTCGAACGCATGTTTGCACTTGCAGTCGGTAGTTTACTTATCTTCAGAAAAAGTCGTTTTCATTTCTGCGATTCTGCGAATTTTCCCGAACAAGTATCTTCGATCGTTTCCTGCTGAAGTCGCTTTGCAGATCAAAGTTGAGAAACACCGTTCACACACCTATCTGGTCAATTAGCTCACTGCTTACGTCTTATCGCATACCTCACAGCTATTATAGACGGTTCTTAACAACTCGGGAAAGAAAACACCGACTCACCTCGGGAGCAGCTCGGCTTTCATCTTTTCGAAAACACACCCGGAATCCCGTCGACGTCGACGAAAATGGCGGCAAAGGCTCGAGAATACTCTTTCCCCTTTCTCCTATTTCCCCTTTTCTTCGTTTTGGATTCTTTCGATCGGACGCCAAATTCTCGTCGAAGCGAACGGTAAAAGTGTCGCGGCCTTTATTAAACGTCCGACCGTGCACGTGTCATCGCGCTCCGGCGCGACCGAAAGGGTTAACCGTCGCGCCATTCAGTGGCTTCTTGTAGATACGCCACGCCGAGATGGGGATTTATTACCCCCGTCCTCCCGGGGAAAAGGAGGCGGAACTTCCTGGCTCGCGCGAAATTCCCTCGCATGGATTCTCCTTCGGGCTGTTCCGCGGCTTCCGCATCGTTGCTCAAGATCATTGACTGCGCCGGGAGGGGGGAGTCGCGAGGGAAGTACTTTGGAATCCGACCGGTCGGTCGGTCGAAGGGGTCGCACGATTGATCATTCGGCGGGGAACGTTTGAGCAGTTACAAATACATGCAATCAATCGTGCGCCCTAATGGCGCGCCCGAGTGCATCGCGTGCAGCGTAACTGCACGGCGATACCTCGCCTCACGCACCGAAAGTATTTTCCCGAGTGCATTAATCATTCAGCTCATCTGTTCATGCACTGCGACGCGGCCGCTCGAGTTCGATCCCGAGCCCGATCGGTCGCGGTATCGTTTTTCGATACGACTCTCCCCCTCCCGGGGGGTAGAAGTTAATCCCGTGAGTTCTCATTTTTCGGGTGATTTAAACGCCGTGCAACAGAGACATACGATATTATCAACGTTCAGTAACTCCGTTTCGTCGTTTTTTTCTCTTTTTCGTTTGGAAATTGGATCGATAGGACCCTCGTGTGCGCTGCTGACGATAAATGTAAAATATAAAATTAGGGTGAGACGAATGAATGCTTTAGAAACTGATTGTGCGAGGCGAAAATAAGAAATGGCTTGTGAGAGTTGTCGATGGGCGTGATAATATTACGTCAACAAGAGGATGTGATGATATTAATTTCGGCGGTGTCGACACGGAGGCTGTATTTTTCGCGCAATGTTACGAATTTGAGGTGGATTTAGTATTAATTAACTTAACACGTTGATTGCCACAAAACTTTTCACGATTCTAGTCTAAGAAGCCAATTTGATTTAATCAAGTAATGAAGCGACGAGATAACTCGTAGTTGGCGTCCTGGGTAAGTAAACAACCTACGAGATATCTCGTAGTTGGCAGTCAACGTGTTAATAAGGCAGAACGTGAAGTGGAGTTATATTATGGAAGCTTCTGAGAATTTAATTATTCATTTATTTAACGCGTAATTCCACTTTGTAAAAGGAGGGCGCACTGAAAGAAAAAGGCGCTACATTCAAGTAAGTACTTACTAGGAAGTATTGGGATAATTATTTACTCAATTCAAGTAAAATAATTACTCCAATACTCTTTA